CAATCTTTGAATCTCATTTTGATTGATTACAACCCAAAAATAGACACCAAAAAATACAATGAGTCAGGAATAACAAATTTTCTCTTAACATTCAATCTAGAGATGCAACATTAATTTCTACATCCTGTAATCTTAAGAGTTTGTGATTATAGTAAATTAACCATCTTTCAATGCACCAGAAGCAATCGCATATCTATTCAATTTTATAAAACCAGTTTTACAAAATAACAATCCAGTTTTTATAAATCACAAGTGAAACAAAAATTAGATAGCGTCTAACCTCTGTGCATAAAGATAATTCTCTAATACTAATATCCTCATACTCTCTAATTTCAGATGTAATACTCCCACTGACTTAGCTACAACCTTGACATCAGGTCAAGTACAAATATATTCCATATCATCGAGGCTTCTGGATTCTTGAAATCCTTGCAATGAATTGTAAACATGTTTAGTGGCTCCAGAATCTATTCATCAGGAATTAATAGATACAACCACATAACATGGCTCAATGATTAAATATATATTTTCCTATGCCACGTCATTGCTTAGACAGTTTGTCCTTTAGTGTCTTCGTTAGCGACAAAAGAAACAGTTTTCTTTGTCCTCAACATACACTGCCTTATTCCCTTTAACCTTTTGGATACCCATGTTTTGTGCTAGCCTAGTCCTATTATCATCCTTCTTCTTTATTTTGCCCTTCCACTTGGGCCTAGAAGAAGATGGTATAGACTAGGTTAGATTGATAGGAATACTTATACTATTTGATTATCCTTTCATTTGTTACCAATTCTATAAGAATATTAGCGAGTATGAACTCAAACTGATTCCTTATTTAGTTCATTTTAAAAGAGTTGAACGAGTTTGGTAATAAGGCAATAATCATGTCAACTTGAAACTTACCACCCAAGTCAGCCCTATTGATCTCCAGTTAATTTTTAAATAATAAACAATCATTTTCAAAATACAATTTCATACTGAAGTTCCTTAGGCTATCTTGATGCTATTTAAGTCTGACATAGTACTTTGGCATACTCTCTATCTAATCTCACCAAAACATCTTATTGACATTTAACATGATGCTTGAAGAAAATAAAATAATGTAAATGTTAGCTTTGGAGCGTATTCGAGGTAAACTCTAGAATATTGCACCAAGTCATCTCATTTGCCTTATTTCACTTATTCAAAGCATTAATGTTCTCTTGGGTATCTTAAAGTAAAAGGATTAGGTTTAGGAGTAGTAAATACATTTGTACCCTTACGTTGTGAATAAAATATCTAAATTCATTTCTCAGTCAATATTAATGAGGTCCAGTTACATTGAATATGTAAGCAAGCAGATAAATTGGATTAGACATAATTAATTTGAATATAAATACATTCATACAATATACAAGGTGAATTATTAATACTGTCATGCATATTTAAAATTAAAATGAGTTTGTTAACCACATAATATAATAAATCTCAATTGAACAAGAGATCATTATCATTATTGGTGAACAATCCCTTTTAATTAATGCGGGTCCCTCAACTCTGTAGCATAATAAATCAACCAATCAATATGTCAATAACTTATCCTGTTGGAGGAGTTCATTATTACTATTGTTAAGATTCATCTACTATTAGGTGAGCACTTCCATTAAAATAGTATGTGGGTCCCTTAACCACTGCATGAAAAATCGGATAACCAATACACCAATAACTTATTCGGTTGGCGAAGTTCATTATTGCTATTGGCGGGCAAATCCCATCATCTCCATATCTCTTAAGACAATGCCTTGTCTATCTATATGAAATGATTCCCGATTATGTTTAGCCTTTCTAAAATCACCTAATGTAGACCACTCCATTGGGGAGCTAACACTATTGATTTTAGGTTGAGTGTATAACATTATTAATACTCTAATGAAAAATAAAACATTAAAGATCTTGTCATTATAATTTAGACTCTTTAAATCATGCGTAGGGCCTTATTTTTAAAGATCTAATTACAATAAAAATTTAATATATTTATTTTTATGAGACAACCATTCTTGTAATATTAAGACTCTTCAAATCATGCGTGGGGCCTTATTTTTGAAGATCTAATTACAATGGTTTTAATAATGAAGGCCATGGGGTAATGTATAAAAATTTCCGCTCCCACTCAATTTTTAATCATTCATAATTAGGGTTTTGAATTTATTTATTTACATGATATAATGCATGCAAAACATCTTGATTTTAATTCAATTAAATTTAGAAAATATTTGGACTTTAAACGATTCACTAATATTTAATTTGAAGCACACTTTAAAAATAATTTACAAAAATAATTTTGCGTTTCCCAATAAGTGCCCTCAAATTAATTAGTAATCAAATCCAATTGATTTTCATAACTTAATTAATATAAATTAAGCCATTTAAATAAATATCATGGATCCAATGCATGAATAATAATTAATTAACAATTATATATTCCATGCATTTCATACATCGCATAAATAAATAAATGACAGATAAAGCAAATAAAATGGCCAATGGAATCAGCTTTTAACATTTAACTACTCTAAGTATTACAGGAAGATCATCCATCGGCTTGCAAACACCCACATAAGGCTGGTACGCACCGGGAGAAGCGAAACGGCGGTCCGAATGCGCTTGAATGGTCTTACACGCACCAACACGCACTTACCACGCGCCTTCCAACCTCTTCACGCGCCTGGACGCGTCTCTAGAGGTCTCCAGCACGTGCCACGCGCTCCCACGCGCCTGCACGCGCTGGGAGAATGCTGAAGCACGTGCCACGCGCTCCCACGCGCGTGTGCGAATAGCCAGCGCGTTCCACGCGCTGGCACGCGCCATGCGCGCTGATGTGGTTCCGGCGCGTGTCATGCACGCGCCTTGCTACTGCTGGTGCATGGGGCAACTTCCAGCTGTGTTCCACTGGATCTTTGCCCCGCTGAACTTTGATCCGACGGTTGCTGATGCGCGCTCATGTATACCGCACCACACCAGATCATCCGTCCACCTTCCAGAGCTGTCCCTTGTCGCCGGCCATACTCCGGTCGCCGGAAAATCGCCGAAAAATCCAGAAAAATTAATAAAAATTTCCAGAAATTAAATTAGGCCTTAAAAAATTCCAGAAAAATTCCGAAAAATTTCTAAAAAATCCCAGAAAATTCCTGAAACCTAATTTAACCCTCTTGGACCTTCTTGAAGCTTCATAGCACCCTTTGATGAAGATTACATGGCTTTAAAAATATTTACAATTTGAAATACAATGAAAAAAATTAAATTACATTATTGAACTTTCAAACGGCTAAATCAAAACCTTAATTACATTCATCCAAAGATAAAATTACATTCAATATTCCTATAAGCTTCATCCATGGCCCAAAACACATATCATCATCCATTCACAATTATACATACATCATCATGTATCAATATATATCAATATATTAATTCATACATCAACATACATCAATAAATAAATATATGCATATCAAAATTGGATCCATGAATGATGAATTTTCATAAAATCATGATCTCTAGTAATGAATCAAACCATGCTCTGATACCACTGTTGGGAAACGTGCTAGTTTTAAAAACTTTTCGAGGGATTTTAATTAATAGATCTTGATTCATTACATAGAGACAAGTTTTATGCAAAAATAAAACATCATGTATCATTCAATTAAAAGATTGAATATTTACATCAAGGTTTGAGTAAACCTTAGATCTCTCCTCTAAAGTGAATGTTCTCACTTATTGTAGATCCTTTTTGCTAGACACCTTTTCCATAGATCTCCATCTCCATCTTCTTGGTAGTGGTCTTGCCTTTAGGAATCACTCATAAGCCTCCATGAATGACCTTGGAAAACTAGGCTTGTGGGAGCCTCCATTAGATGAGAACATAAACCCTAATTTTCTAGAGAGCGAAAATATTTATTCTTTTTTCCTTCTACTAAAAATCACCCCTAAAATATACATAGACCATGTATATTTATAGGCAACATAAAGGTAAAGAAAAGGAAACAACTAATCCTTCTCAATCTCTAATTCACATGTCTCAAATCTAATATGATTCCAATATCAAGTTGGGCTATGAGTGAGAATCCATTGGGCCTATTATTTTATTGGCTACAATGAATTAATAATTGGCCCGGTCCATGGACCCAATTCAATTAATTCATAAATTAATTTCTACTCCACTAAAAGAAATTAATTGAACTCCAATTAAATAATAAATAACCACTAAGTCAATATTGCACTTTGACCCCTCTATGCATAATTAGTTATCGGATAAATAATGCCATCAGTCCGACTACTTAATTAATATATTTATTTTGGTACCTTTGATTATTTCTGGCTTGATCACAATAAAACATTTGTTTGAAAAAAAAAAAAAATAATTTAATAAATAAATATATAATAAATCATTTTGTCTAAAAACATACGAAAGCCTTCGAATTTACTTTGTAATCAACCATAATCAATACAAAATAAATACAAGTAGCAATGATGCAAATATTGAAAATATAACCCTCTAACTATTAATTACATAACTACCCAAAGTGTCGGTCTAAGGATTCCAAAGAATCCGCCGAACAAATCAAAGTAATTATTAATTAATAAAAGAGTCTATAATTTTCTCATGCTTAAGGTCAAATGCTATGACGGTGCTAGAGAGCAATTGCATACGACGGCTCTCGCAATATATCTCAACCTAACGCGGATCCAGTTCAAGTCTTAATTAATTATGAGTCCATCCATAATTACCGACTATGAACAATTTATAATTACTATGTATATATTATGCATTGATTGCCATCACATACATATATATAAATATTTCTTGTAATCACAGGGACACTATCAATTTCATAGTGAATCGAAATATAATACATTGAATTCACCAATTATATAAATCATAAATATTTCAGATATGTCAGGAACATATGTCACTTTAATCCAGATAGGAATTTGCTATGCCAGGGCATATAAATCCCAACACTTAAAATGAAAAAGCATTAAAGATGCTCTAAGTACTGCGTTCCTGTCATATCCACCTCAACATATATACCAAGCACACACCTTTCAAAAAAAAAAAAAAAAACCCAAGCACACTATATCTGTTTAATCCTCCTCAGGATTAGAAGCTCTATACTTGCTGGAGACTGGAATGTACTTAAGAGCATTAGAGATGCTCTAAGTACTGCGTTCCTGTCATATCCACCTCAACATATATACCAAGCACACACCTTTCCAAAAATAAAAAATAAAAACCAAGCACACTATATCTGTTTAATCCTCCTCAGGATTAGAAGCTCCATACTTGCTGGAGACTGGAATGTACTTGACAAGCCAACCAATCGGCCATGACAATGCACCAATCCCAATGCATGCACCCCACTGCCCCCAATTCAGCCTTTCAGTATTAGCAATCCTTTTAAGAAGCTCCACCACAACCACTTGAAGAACTACTGTCATCCCAACGATCCCTAGAAACAGTTTGTTCTTCAGTATTCCCCTAAATATGTTCTTCTCCTCCAGCTTCCTCGCATTAAACTCATTGAAAACTTGGCAGAGAACAAAACTATTGAAAATGAGTGTGTCCTTAACCCTCTTGTTCACGCGAAAGATAGAGTTTCCCTTGAACTCCAAGGTTAGTAAAACGGTGACCTGATACAAGGCCTGAGAAATTAAATTCCTCCACATCACTCTTGTTATAAGCCGTTCATTTCGTCCCACAGGTGGCTTTTTCATGACATCATTAGTGGATTGCTCAGCGGCGAAGGCTAAAGCCCCCAAAATATCAATTATGAGATTCACCCACAACAGCTGGACTGCTGCAAGTCGGACTTCACCAGATGATAGTGCAGCGACAAAGTTGATGACTAGGGCAGCGACATTGACAGTGAGTTGGAATTGAATGAACTTTTGGATATTATTATACACACATCTCCCCCACTTCAATACAGTCAGTATTGAAGTAAAGTTATTGTCCAAGATGACGATATCTGAGCACTCTTTTGCCACTTCTGTGCCTTGGATCCCCATGGAGAGCCCAATATCTGCTTCTTTCAGTGCGGGTGCATCGTTGTTTCCATCGCCTGTGACTGCTACCACGTGGCCTTTCTGCTTCAAACATTGCACCATCAGAAGCTTGTCAAACGGGGATGATCTGGCCATTACACGGATAGACTCGACCTTTAACATTCTCGCTTCTTGTGAGTAATTTCTGAATGTTACACCTTCTACTATTGCATCATCTGAATCTTCATTCGGTTTGAGAATTCCGCATTCAATAGCTATAGTTTTTGCAGTGGACATATTGTCACCAGTGATCATTTTGATTTTCACTCCAGCATCCCTGCATGACTGTACTGCTGCTCCAACACCTGGCCTGCATGGGTCCTTCAAACCCACCAGCCCTAATAATGTCATTCCCGTTTCTTCAACCTTTTCATTGGCCTGCAAACTATCTCCTTGGGCTTTGTTGCATGCAAACGCAATGCATCGCAGGCCTTTTGCCGCCATATCTTTAATAATTATATCAAACTGCACTCTCTCTGAATCATCCATTGCAATGATCCTCCCGCTTCTCACGTAATAATTTGAGCACATTGCCAGAATCATCTCTGCTGCCCCTTTCCAATGTGTATGAACTTTCTTTCCACCATTTCTCCTCACCAGAACCCCACTCCGTTTCTTCTCTGAATTGAAAGCTTCTACGTGGAGAATATCATTAACTTTCTTTAGCTGATCGAGATCCATATCCAAATTGAACACGGCCCAAGAGAGAATGGCCGACTCAGTTGGACTAGCAGAAATTTCAGGAGTTGAAGTAGATAGTACTGATGATGGATAATCTTCTCCTGTTGTATTTAAACCAATACCTTCTTGTAGCAATTCAACAAAATTAGGGTCTAATTCTGATGATGTAATTGTCCCCTTCAGTTCCTCTTTTCCCAGCCAAAACTCAGTCACCATCATCTGATTTAATGTAAGCGTGCCTGTTTTGTCTGTGCAGATTGTTGTAGCTGAACCCATTGTTTCACCGGCAGAGAGTTTCCTGATCGTGGCAATGCCATCCATCATTTTCTTCGTCGAATAAGCCAGAGTCAGAGAAAGAGCCAAAGGCAAACCCTCTGGGACTGCCAACACAACTACTGTCATTGCTGCAACAATGCTATAAAAATCAATAACAGTTTTCAGGAATCTCATCACCGGTTTGGTCTTGATGCTGTCATTCAAATCCGGTTGCTCGCTTTGGTCGTTAGTGTGTCCTGTCAAACAGTGAATCAACAAAACCACGAGGAGGAGAAAAGCGATCAACAAAGCTGATTTCTCCATATAAGAATTCAGCTTGTTGACGCCGGCTTCCAACCATGTCTGCTTGTCCAATTCACAGCTTATGGAGCTCATCTTCTGGCCCCATTCTGTGTTCATGCCTACTGCAGTGACAAGCATGTGACCGTAGCCATCTGTCACCTTCGTACCAGAAAGCAGAAATGGATTCGTGGCCTCATTGACTTCAACATGGTCGCTTTCACCAGTCATGTTAGATTCGTCCACCTTCAACGAATGACCATCCAAGAACAATCCGTCTGCAGGAATCTGATCACCAATATTCAAGCACACAATGTCACCCACTACAACCTCAAAGATTGATATGGGTTGTCGCCGCCCATCTCTCACCACTTCCACTTTTATGTCGCTGCTCTCCTCCGACAGCTTCTCGAACTGTCTGCTCTGCTTGAAGTTACTGATAGCAGAGACTGCAACAACTAACACAACAGCAACAATGATGCTGCCTCCATCATACCACCCTTCCTTGAGGCCATGCTGCTTAATCCCAAAGCCAAGAGAGAGAACTGCACATACCAGGAGTATGATAATTGTTGGGTCTTTGAATGCTTCTAGCACGAAACTGATAAAGCTTTTAGCAGGAGGCTTCTTGTATGTGTTGGAACCGAACACATCAATTATGTGCTTGGTATCATCATGGCTGCCACTGATGCCAGACTCCGCATCCGTTCCAAGAACGGCTGCAACTTCCTTCACTCCTCCATATTGATGGAGACGATCAAAGTCTCTCTCTTTAACCAGGTCGGCAAGAAAGGGTACGTGATCGTGATCGTTGTCATTGTCATTGTCATCATCATTCACGGGTTGAATGTCGATTGCAATGTATGGTGGGCTATGAATGACACCTGTGAGAGATCGGGTTTTCTTGAAAACCTTCTTGGACAAAGAAACTATGAAATATATGGCTGTGAAAGCCAATTTTAATCGTTTGGGAGGTCTGAGAATGGAGCTATCTTTGTCCCTGAACATGATTATATGTAGACGAACAAGAGAGATGGGGAACAAAAGGCTGAATATGTGAGATGTGATGTAACAGTGTGTGTGTGTGTGTTTTTTTTTCTTATGATGTAACTGAGTTACTCTTGCTTATATAGGAATTCGAAAACGCGTATGAGAAATTTCTCTGTAGGTTCGTGGAGATTACCGGGAAACATGCCTCCCCAAGCTATGATGTAGTAGTCTTTGAAGTTTGAAGTGAGGTCGTTCATTTACAAAAATGGAATATGAAATGAATTCTCCAAACTTGTCTTGAAGTCCATTATTGGAAAATCCACCAATATTTTTAAAACAATATTCACCTTTATGAAGTTTACGTGTTTAATATTTGGTTGGCGACTCCGTAAATTTAGTTTGCATTGTTATTTATTTTTATTTTTTTAGAATTGCAATTAGTTTGCTTCTAGGATTTGCAGCTGAAGAAGAATCAAGAGAATGAATAATCATGAGAGAGAAGAATAAAAAATTGTAAGTGCTAAGTTAGAATTTTTAATTAGGATTCTGCTATAAAAATAAAAAATAAAAATAAAAAAATAAAAAGTATGTTTCCTTTTATCTGTTATGAATTTTTTAAAAAAAATTTCTCTGTTTTGAATTTTTTTAATAATTGATTCGCAACATTTTCTCTATTATGAGATTTTTTTAATAATCGATTAAAAAACTTAACAACAAATTAAAAAATTTCAATAAATTGAATTTTTTTGACTTTATGTATATATGAATAGAGACTAGCAAGGATTATAATAATTATTATTATTATTAAATAATTTTTAAAAGTTAATCTAAAAAGGTTTATTCAAACAACCGTTAATAATCATAAATGGGTTCATTCAAATCACCTTTAATAACCGTAAATAGATAATAAAATATATATATATATATATATATACAATTTGAAGTGTGAACTTTTAGGGCTTGTCCGGTTTATATTTTGTTTTGGGTGTTTGCGTTTTTAATTGGGTACCAACTGTGCCGTAATAGAAAAAGTGTTTGATAAAAAAGTCTTATTTTGCACAGGGTTCAAACACTTAAAAGAATAGTGACCAAAAGCTGAAATACTAATTTGGTGTGTTAACATGTGCCACACTACTAGCAACAAATGAAATAATATATAGGGTTGTGGTTTAGCTCATTATTTAATATTCTTGTTTTTTTTTCCTAACAAATAAAAAATATATATATGCCTTAGGGCATAGCGGTGTAGGTAAGGTCCGGGAGATAAGCTTTTGAGGTTTCGTTTTTAAATCGCACTTTGACTTGAATGATACATGTGTTGTGGAGCCGATATACTTAGTTTAAGAAAGAAAAGAAAAAAAAAAAAAAATTTGTTGCTCTTTCTCTCTCTATCTTTCAATTGCACCAAACCCCCCACATTTTTTTTTTTTTGGAACCAAAACCAACTTGCTTTAACATCCTGATCAAGAGTATTCCTCAACAACTTAATAATTAAAATAATTTTATAGTGGACTTAATCTTTTTTAATTGCTCAGATTCTATTCTTTCTTATAATGAAATCAAGTAAACATTTCGCGAAAGCTGAATGGAAAAACAAAATTATTCTTTGGAAAAGTATTCATCACTTTCTCCTTATGCTTACCAATTTCTAGTTTGGCTAAAGGATCGTGGGCAGTGTAATTGCTAGGTAAGTGCAATGGAGTGGATATTCTTGCGTGCTTAATATGGATTCCACTCCATTGCACTTACCTAGCAATTACACTGCCCACGATCCTTTAGCCAAACTAGCCAAACAAACTAAGAGAGATTTCTCTGTATCTTCCTGGTGGAGTTAGTTACAGTCCATGGATTTGGTGAGTCATGCACCTATTGCATGCAAAAGAATTGTCTCTCTGATTTTACGTTTTATTAGATAACTGACATTGTCAAAATAACTTGTTTGGAAGGGCAGAAAATTTGAACACCCTAATTGAAATAAAATTCTGGAAATGTCCCTAAAATTCCCAATTTTTCCACCATTGATTCAGTTGGGTTAATTATCTTCTTAGTTCAATAGACTTTTAACCTATTTGCAAATCTAAGTATAACTTTAAAAAATTTAAATTTCTTGAATTACGCATCATTGTACTATTTATTTTGTCGTATTAAAACTTATACTTACGTAGACAAAATATAATAATAATAATAATAATTGATACTAGTATTCCACGTGGAGAAAGTGACTTATAGTCTAATTTTTAGACTTCATATGGTCTTTTCAATGTTTGATCACATATAGTATAAACATCATATCGACATGTAAAGTAACACTACAAATTTTTTTCCGCAATTATTTTGACCATTTAACCATTAACGGGACCAAGAAAATGAAGTCCTTATGTTACACTTGATTGCCATACATTCAATTCCATAAATTTACAAAGCAAAAGTGATGCAATAGGTACTATATGTGTGTACACACACACACAAAGCGAGAATACATGTATGCATTTTCTCAGAGCGCAAAGCAAAGTGAAAAGTGAAAAATGAAAATGGTTGGTTATCATATTCAATTTTTGGATCAAGCATGGTTCATCGTATCGGTTGATACGCGACGTATTGTTCGGTAAGCAATTCATTTTCAAGGTTTTGATATCGTTACATACATCCAAGAACCGGTCAGTTCGATCGGTTCACACCGATATTTGTCCAAATTCGTTATTTACACTGCGACCGCGAAAATGCCATCACTTTCTCCTTATGCTTACCCAATTTCTAGTTTGGCTAAAGGATCATGGGCAATGTAATTTCTAGGCAAGTGCAATGGAGTGGAATCCATATTAAGCACACAAAAATATCCATATATATATATGTTATGAAAAAAAATGATCGAATAGGAGTTTTTGAGAACAAAAGAGAAAATTAATAACAAAAAATTAAAATGGCATACACACAAATGAGATAAGGATTTACGTGATTTGGTTATACCTATGTCTATGGAGAGAAGACAGAATAATATTTTACTATAGAAATAAAAGAGATAAAGGCAAAGTGGCTCACACCCAAAACCTAATTACACCCAAAATCTCTCTCTCCAACTAATATTTGAAACACCCAATTGATGATTTGGATGCATTACACCATGACGCACAAGGCTATTTATAGCCAAAATGTTTTTGCTAATGACATATGGATATCACTGGCACTAGAACAGCTTGCTGACCACGCTCCTTGGAGGACAAGCTGATGATACAATGGCTGATGTAATACATGTATATAGCTGGCATTAGAAAAGGGTTCTTGATCACACATTGTTGATGAGGATACTTGGTGACCACGAATTAGGCTTGTTGGGCACTCAAACTTGAAGCCCAAGGTGCTAATGCAAGATGCTGATGGAATCAATGATGCAATACAATGCTGAGTTGGCAAAATTTGAGCCACAATATTCTAACAAATCTCCACATTGGCAAAAATTTCGTATGAGCCAGTGTATCTCTGCCAACCAATCTGTCTTCTCCACAAAACAAATTAATTAAGAATTTTAGTTAAGTTTGAGTCATCCTCAAACTTAACCCTCGGGCTCTCATTCTTCAACCCATGCATGCCTTGTGCAGCCACAAGCATACCTCCAATATTTGTGTCAAACTCTAAATGCTTACCAAAAGCAACCTCAGAAATTCCAAGTTTGACATCTCCTTCAGCAACCTTCTCCAACCGCCCACAGACTACCGGCTGGTAATGAAGAGTCATCTTCTCACTCTTGTAGAGAATATGACGTCCTTAACTTTTCCTCGCATCTTTTTTGTGACCAACGTACTACTTGCCTCCTGTAATACCCCGACATTGTAAAAAGGATTTCTTAATTAAATTAATTTATATTATATTATTATTATTATTTTTAAGTGATTTGTTTTATTTAATTGGGTGCTTGATAGTTGTGATTTGTTTTATTTAATTAATTGCGTAGGTAAATTGTATTGTTTTAATTAAATTATATATTTTGTAATTTTATTTGTTAAATTTATACGGTGTTTGATTTGTGGAATGCTAGTTAGTGAAGTGTTTATTTGATTTGCGTGATTTTGTGTTGGTGTACCTTTATTGTTAATTATTGGTAGCTATTAAATTTAATTTCATTATTTTAGGTATTTAAGTTATTTGTATTGGGATTAAAGGAAGTTGGACCAACGGATGTGGTATTGGGCTTGAAAGAAGCCTTGTTGGGTTAATTGGTAAAGGCCCGTGGTTGTGAGGATATTTAATAATTATCTTTACATAATTATACCTATATAATTACATGTGTATATTAATTCATTATTAAATCATGTGGAGGGGTATATATGTCAATATAATTATCTATTGATATATATAGGTATATATAATTTATTTAACTAAGGGTTATATATGGAAGGTAATATATATATGTTTATAGTAAAATATATGTATGTATATATATTATTTAAAAGATAAATATTATTTATTTTATATGATAATCCTAATGGGAAAAGGATTTAGTTTTTGTATGTATATAAATAGACACATAAGACTCTAGGGTTAGGAGTTTTTCCACGTTAGAAAAATAAGAGAATTAGAGAGAGAAGAAGAAGGGCTAACGAAGAGGAGGCCGGATCAAAGAACGTAAGAGGAGACCGGATTTGGAAAAGAAAAGGCGAGTTCCTCTCTACTTCTCCTCTTAGAACTCATAAACTTATCACCTTGATTATCGAAATTATAATTTTATTTTATTAAATTAAATTATTATTCAGATTGGAGGAGCATATTTATTCTTTACAAAATTATAGAATTAAACATGTGAATATATGTATGCATTGTTCTGATAATTTAGATCTTGTAGGTGAGGTTAGGTTAATTAAATTTTATTTTTCTAAAATTTTTATATTTTGCGTTAACCTTGTGTAGCACGATTAATTAAATTAAATGGATTTTAATTTAATTGTATATGTTCATTTATGCCCAAAATAATAAATAGAGCTTTTGGGATTTTTCTGAGATTTTCTGAATAATTTCTGAAATTAATTTATATTTTTAATGTTAATTTAGAAATTGTTATATATATATATATATATATATATATATATATATATGTTAAATTGTTTAACAAACCCACTGGAGGCGGCTAGTATTTGCGCATCAATAGGATTTTTATCCAGTGTGGTCGCGTGCGTAGGAAAAGGGTGCACTCGTTGATCTAGGCCATAGGATTAATTTTATTTAGTTGGATTGATCTGGTGTGATGCGGTCCATTGTAAGTTGATACACATGCGGCATCAATGGTTAGATGTAGTTGATTAAGGGAGAGGATCCAGTGCATCGCGGCTTACCAAGAGCACCAAACAACAACCAATTAGGAGCTACCAACACGCGCCGAGAGTGGCTCAGGCGCGTGAGGGCGCGTGCAGGCGCGTGGACGCGCCTGCCGGTAAGGGGAAGCGCGTGGAGGCGCGTGGGAGTAGTCTAGGGCTATGTGGCGGCGCGTGAAGGCGCGTGGGGATGCGTGTGAGGTCCTGGAAAGTTGCTTGAGACTCCGGTGAAGTTCCAGTATTTATCTTAAGCTTGTTAGGGTTAAAATTAATCATTAGAGGGTGTGTTCTTGATATTTTGAGAGCCTCAAAATGTTACTAAGATACCTAGTAGCATTTAGTGGTATAAATATAATTAATTAAATATTTTTGCAATGAAAGGAGGTGTATATATGTGTATATATATGTAGATATGATTGTAAATAGTCAACGATTGGTATGGAATGTATGATACACACATATATATATATTACAAAATATATGTGTATATATATATTATTTAAGATTATTAAATATTATAAATCTTGTTTGGTATGACTTGATTCGTGTATGGTATGGTTGATTTAAAATCGTAATAGATACACGGTTATTAAATTAAGGACATGCTTATTATATGCATGTGAAGTCTATGTATAATTATACCTAGAGTTAAGTTTAAAATTAATACATGGTTGAATTGTAAGCATGGATGAGTTGCCAAAGGCTTTGATATACTGCCTTATTGGTTATGAATAAATTTCATATATGGGAAGCATGGTTGAATTGCTAATTAATTGTAAAAGTAAATATATTGAAAGAAGCATGGTTGAATTGCTAGTATATAAATAAATATATTTATAAATGGTATGGTTGATTTGCCGGTGCATATTTAAATTGCTATATGTGTAGATGACTAAATTACTGTTTAGGATGGAGTTAAGGTGAGTGGGGTTTACTTTATGAGAAAATTATAAAAGGGGGGGGCTTGGTCTAGGTATGACTAATAATTAATTATTGGTGAGTGGTTTTGACAATTTAATGCCCTATTAACTGGTAGGATTCTTGCACTATATATATAAGTATTTATATATATTTGTAGCATCGTATATTAAAGTTAAAGCTTAATTAGGGATGGTTTTGGTAAAGATGATCTGTTTATTGGTTTTCAGAGGCTTGGTAGAGAGAACTTGCTCGTAGGGTTTAACCCGCGATTTATTTTTCAGGTTGTAGAAGGTCAAGTCTCAAGGTTGAGGATCCGCAGCTGGAGGACTTATCCATTCCTTCTATTTACTTAAAAGTAGGATATTAGTTTTGTTTCAGTTGATATTAGTACTTAATTGGTTGAAATTCTAAATAGTAACTTTTGGTTAAGGGGTCCTTGAGTTACGGGATTCCCGAGTTGTAACCATTTGGAAGTTATTAATGGATTTACTATTAATTGGATTTCTTCAGCGTTTTATTTTATTCTTTATTTCATTTTGTAATCTGTGCTTGTTTAAATACTTTAATTGGTTTGATATTCCCTGATTTTGTGCGCGGACTTGATCAACCCGTGTTCCGAAATTATGGGGTATTACAGTTGGTATCAGAGCACTCCAGGTTCAAGTGTCCCTAGGGTGTCTTTCGTTATGTGAATTCCGCTTTGTGTACTCGTTTCTTTAGAGCTTAAGTTTAGGATACATTGTATTCCTTTACGGTCCGTTAAAATCGTACTGATGTCTGGCGTTCTATGTTAACAGCATGGTTAACACTGGAAGAGGACAGAATCTGAACCGTCGACAGAGGAGAGCTGCACGTAGGCAGCAAGAACACCTGCAACGTCAGCAAATGGAGAAAGAGCAGCAACGACTTGAGTTTCAGGGTGAGGGTCAGCTTCAGGAGGAGCAAGAGGAAGTTCAGGCTCCGGCTCAGGGCAGGGATCCAGAGTATCCTCCTCACATCAATGACCTCATTGCTCGGGCTATAGAAGCTGGGGTAGCAGCTGTACTTCGGAATCAGCCTCAGGTACAGCCGGCACCGTACCAACACCGGTTGTTCAGACTGATACTTGGGAGAAGGCCAGGAGTTCCTTCACAAAAGGGAGTCCACCTGAGTTCACGGGCTCCACGGATGCGAGAGCAGCTCACCAGTGGAAACAGGACATTGAGCGACATCTTCGCTTGGTTCAGTGCACGGAGGTTCAGAAGCAGATGCTTGCTACCTTCAAGCTAGTTGGGGATGCACTGCAGTGGTGGGAGTCAGTTACCACCATAGAGGAGAGGATGGCATTGACTTATGATGAGTTCAGTGCACGTTTTGAAGAAAAGTATTTCCCTTATGCAGTTAGGGCAGCCATGAAGACTGAATTTCTTAATCTACAGCAAGGGAACATGACAGTGGCGGAGTATGAACAGCAGTTCACACGCTTATCTCTCTTTGCACCGGAGGAGGTGGATACAGAGGAGAAGAAGCGCAACAGTTTTGTCAAGGGACTGATGTGGTCTATCAAGAGAGCTATTACTGGTAGTCCAGCCTACACTACTTATGCTCAAGTGGTGAACGCAGCTTTGCAGCTTTATCAACTGAATGAGGATTTCAGACAGATTAGGGCTGAGAAGCGGGGTGGCAAAGATTTTGCTAATCAGCCAGCTGCGAAAGTGAATGATAATGGGAACCGACAGAATGACAAGGGCAGATTCCAGGGCCAGCAGCCTTGGAAGAAGCACAAGGGTAATTCAGAAGTTCAGAGAGAGGGAGTTTCCACTCAGCAGACTGGAGCACCTCAGACTGGACTGGGACAGCTACAGGGTAATCACCAGGAGGGGCAGTCAAGTATATTTAGGGGTCATTGCTATAAGTGTGGAGATTATGGGCATTCAGCCAAACGGTGTCCTGGGTTGGCTCAGAAACAGCATGGGCAACAGGGACAGTGGCAACCATTACCTACTCCACAGATTCCACGTGTGCAGGCTCAGACATTTTCGGCCTTACCAGCACCACCGCCACCACAGGGACAGCCTATACAGCAGTTGCATCAGGGTATGGTGTACAATGCCACACCTTGTAATGCATGGGTACCTCAGAAGAATTGAGGTATGTTTTTTTATTATTATTATTTCAAGGTAGATGTAGAAATGACTTAGTAGATATAAGTGCATCATGTTCATTAGTATCTGGATGGTTTTGGCTTATGATGGTGATATATATCTATACATATATATACAAATCATTGACTGTTAGTATATTACACCACTAAGTGTTTAAGTAATTTACACAATTGTGAGCATTTTATTATAGATATTTACATATTAAATATCTTACATGGCAAACAGTGGAATAAGGGAAAATGAAAGTTTGGGACAAATAATCAAAATTTCATTTCATGGATTCGTGAATTCCGAGGACGAAATTCCTTTTATTAGGGGGGAAGAATGTAATACCCCGACATTGTAAAAAAGATTTCTTAATTAAATTAATTTATATTATATTATTATTATTATTTTTAAGTGATTTGTTTTATTTAATTGGGTGCTTGATAGTTGTGATTTGTTTTATTTAATTAAGTGCGTAGGTAAATTGTATTGTTTTAATTAAATTATATATTTTGTAATTTTATTTGTTAAATTTATACGGTGTTTGATTTGTGGAATGCTAGTTAGTGAAGTGTTTATTTGATTTGCGTGATTTTGTGTTGGTGTACCTTTATTGTTAATTATTGGTAGCTATTAAATTTAATTTCATTATTTTAGGTATTTAAGTTATTTGTATTGGGATTAAAGGAAGTTAGACCAACGGATGTGGTATTGGGCTTGAAGGAAGCCTTGTTGGGTTAATTGGTAAAGGCCCGTGGTTGTGAGGATATTTAATAATTATCTTTGCATAATTATACCTATATAATTACATGTGTATATTAATTCATTATTAAATCATGTGGAGGGGTATATATGTCAATATAATTATCTATTGATATATATAGGTATATATAATTTATTTAACTAAGGGTTATATATGGAAGGTAATATATATATGTTTATAGTAAAATATATGTATGTATATATATTATTTAAAAGATAAATATTATTTATTTTATATGATAATCCTAATGGGAAAATGATTTAGTTTTTGTATGTATATAAATAGACACATAAGACTCTAGGGTTAGGAGTTTTTCCACGTTAGAAAAATAAGAGAATTAGAGAGAGAAGAAGAAGGGCTAACGAAGAGGAGGCCGGATCAAAGAACGTAAGAGGAGACCGGATTTGGAAAAGAAAAGGCGAGTTCCTCTCTACTTCTCCTCTTAGAACTCATAAACTTATCACCTTGATTATCGAAATTATAATTTTATTTTATTAAATTAAATTATTATTCAGATTGGAGGAGCATATTTATTCTTTACAAAATTATAGAATTAAACATGTGAATATATGTATGCATTGTTCTGATAATTTAGATCTTGTAGGTGAGGTTAGGTTAATTAAATTTTATTTTTCTAAAATTTTTATATTTTGCGTTAACCTTGTGTAGCACGATTAATTAAATTAAATGGATTTTAATTTAATTGTATATGTTCATTTATGCCCAAAATAATAAATAGAGCTTTTGGGATTTTTCTGAGATTTTCTGAACAATTTCTGAAATTAATTTATATTTTTAATGTTAATTTAGAAATTGTTATATATATATATATATATATATATATATATATATATATATATATATGTTAAATTGTTTAACAAACCCACTGGAGGCGGCTAGTATTTGCGCATCAATAGGATTTTTATCCAGTGTGGTCGCGTGCGTAGGAAAAGGGTGCACTCGTTGATCTAGGCCATAGGATTAATTTTATTTAGTTGGATTGATCTGGTGTGATGCGGTCCATTGTAAGTTGATACACATGCGGCATCAATGGTTAGATGTAGTTGATTAAGGGAGAGGATCCAGTGCATCGCGGCTTACCAAGAGCACCAAACAACAACCAATTAGGAGCTGCCAACACGCGCCGAGAGTGGCTCAGGCGCGTGAGGGCGCGTGCAGGCGCGTAGACGCGCCTGCCGGTAAGGGGAAGCGCGTGGAGGCGCGTGGGAGTAGTCTAGGGCTATGTGGCGGCGCGTGAAGGCGCGTGGGGATGCGTGTGAGGTCCTGGAAAGTTGCTTGAGACTCCGGTGAAGTTCCAGTATTTATCTTAAGCTTGTTAGGGTTAAAATTAATCATTAGAGGGTGTGTTCTTGATATTTTGAGAGCCTCAGAGTGTTACTAAGATACCTAGTAGCATTTAGTGGTATAAATATAATTAATTAAATATTTTTGCAATGAAAGGAGGTGTATATATGTGTATATATATGTAGATATGATTGTAAATAGTCAACGATTGGTATGGAATGTATGATACACACATATATATATATATTACAAAATATATGTGTATATATATATTATTTAAGATTATTAAATATTATAAATCTTGTTTGGTATGACTTGATTCGTGTATGGTATGGTTGATTTAAAATCGTAATAGATACACGGTTATTAAATTAAGGACATGCTTATTATATGCATGTGAAGTCTATGTATAATTATACCTAGAGTTAAGTTTAAAATTAATACATGGTTGAATTGTAGGCATGGATGAGTTGCCAAAGGCTTTGATATACTGCCTTATTGGTTATGAATAAATTTCATATATGGGAAGCATGGTTGAATTGCTAATTAATTGTAAAAGTAAATATATTGAAAGAAGCATGGTTGAATTGCTAGTATATAAATAAATATATTTATAAATGGTATGGTTGATTTGCCGGTGCATATTTAAATTGCTATATGTGTAGATGACTAAATTACTGTTTAGGATGAAGTTAAGGTGAGTGTGGTTTACTTTATGAGAAAATTATAAAAGGGGGGGCCTTGGTCTAGGTATGACTAATAATTAATTATTGGTGAGTGGTTTTGACAATTTAATGCCCTATTAACTGGTAGGATTCTTGCACTATATATATAAGTATTTATATATATTTGTAGCATCGTATATTAAAGTTAAAGCTTAATTAGGGATGGTTTTGGTAAAGATGATCTGTTTATTGGTTTTCAGAGGCTTGGTAGAGAGAACTTGCTCGTAGGGTTTAACCCGCGATTTATTTTTCAGGTTGTAGAAGGTCAAGTCTCAAGGTTGAGGATCCGCAGCTGGAGGACCTATCCATTCCTTCTATTTACTTAAAAGTAGGATATTAGTTTTGTTTCAGTTGATATTAGTACTTAATTGGTTGAAATTCTAAATAGTAACTTTTGGTTAAGGGGTCCTTGAGTTACGGGATTCCCGAGTTGTAACCATTTGGAAGTTATTAATGGATTTACTATTAATTGGATTTCTTCAGCTTTTTATTTTATTCTTTATTTCATTTTGTAATCCGTGCTTGTTTAAATACTTTAATTGGTTTGATATTCCCTGATTTTGTGCGCGGACTTGATCAACCCGTGTTCCGAAATTAGGGGGTATTACACCTCCCACGCATCTTAATGGCACT